GCGTGTAGCCTATTTCCATGAGGTCAAGCTCGCTTTTAAATATAAAACACAACTTCGCACTGTAATTCACCAAGTAAATTAATAACTTAATGAAAACAATAGAAATGATCTTTTCAAAAGAGAACAAATATTGTTTGTTATGGTAATGGATAAGGTCCAGATTGCGCAATGTTCAGGCTGTCAGAAATGTTTTGGATTTAGAACTTGGTATTCTCATGAGCTCCAGGCCTGTGAAGGAACAGCATCTGGCGATCGCAGCTCTTTTGTGAAAGCCGCGACAGAGCGAAAAGCTTCAGAGCCGGACAATTGACCCGTCGTCATACCAGTTAACTCTGACCGGGCCGGGCTTTTTAAGGTTGTTTGTTGAAGGGCCGATTTTATTGAAAAAAACACAGAGCTGGGTTATTGGTTGACCTCCCGTCGTAGTAAAGCCCTTTCAAGGTTTCCTGACTCTTCATGTAATAAGAGCGCAACTTTGTGGCTAAACCAACCTTGCACGAAGTCTCATAGACTTTCATAAGTTTTCTCATTTTTAAACATTTTATGAATAACTATTTATTGGTTTTTGAAAGCAGTTTGTCAAGTCTTGCAACTGTGGGGTGAATGGGGGGTTTCTCTGTGTCGCCCTTAGTTGTTGCTATATACAGTTAATATTTTGTCGACATTTTTTATCAACAACAGAGAAAAATTTTAATTTTGAGGAGCAAACAGGGGCCAGAAAGCAACTTGCCACAGAAGGCGCCACACCATAGAACAGAAACAAATAGATTTGAAGTGGTTTAAATCGTTTTTGTTAAGTTTGCAGAAACAAAAAACGACAAACAGGAAGGCTGAAACTTTTTGAATTTTTACGTTTTTTGTTGTCAAAACGAAAAACTAAAAAAGACGGCTTTGTTTTCTGGGTTCTGGCTTTGTGTTGCAGTTATGTCGCAGAGAACAGAACTGAATAGGCTGATAAAACGTACCTTGTCCCTTCTGCATTGATTTTGATTCTTTTTTAAAAAGTGTCCAACAATGCTGTAAGAGTACACTTTCCTGTCTTGTTCTTGTCTCAGGGAGCTAGAGGAGGACCCGGAGACCTGGGCCCAGAGGGGCCATCTGGATCTAAAGTAAGAACTCTAGAAATCAAGTTTCAAATACATCAAGTAAATCAGCAGTTAATGGGTTAAAGCTACAGGATGAGCACCTTTGTAAGTATCTTTTTCCTTTCCTTAAAAGGGGGATCGAGGACTGAGGGGTGCATCTGGACCTCCAGGAGATAACGGCATTGGGTTCCCTGGTCCCAAGGTAAATTTAGGTTTGGTTTAGTATTTGATAAAATAAGATTTAGCATTCGGCATGAAGCCCAGTGTCCTGTGGACTGTTCTGTTTCTCTCTAATCTGTTATCTTCAGGGTGACAAGGGGAACCAAGGAAGACCAGGGCCCCCTGGACCAGTGGGTAGGGGTGAACCAGGGACACCGGTGAGTTGACAACTGAAACTACAGTAACTGCTCTTATAGCTGATATTACTAATACCATCACTCTATTCCAGTGGGATACTTCAATCAATGCTAAAAAGATGTTATGTTAAATATCGTCACTGAATTTTAGTACACATTGGTGATTATCCACCTCACTTCTGATTAACTCTAATTTTAGAGACAAGACGGCAATTTACCCTCATGTTCATAGTTTCCCTTCAAATCCACTGCACTGCGGTGCAGACAATTAAAAAGTTAATGTATCACTCCTTATATATTAAATTCACAAAGTGCTGTGTTACATCCCCACAAAAAATACTGAACTTTCACTGTAGGGTAGATGGGTGGAAATTTTTGGAAGCAAAGAAAGGCCAAAATGATCAGAATTTTAATGAGCAACTGTATACCTTTTTTCATAGCACTAAAATATTTTACTTCAAGAACCATCAGTAAGATTTTTTTTAAATTCTACTTTCTAAACTTTTGAGGTTGTCAATGCACAAACACTATTTATCTCCATTGCATTGTGTTGGTCTCACCATAAAAAATTTAAGCTCCAATGTTTGTGTATAATAGTTTACTTTAGTGAGCAGTATGTACAATCAATTAGATAATTAATCACCTCAATCTAGGAACTGTTATGGTTTTGTTACCTTAGAATGAGGCTTTTATACCAACACCCATCCTACACACTGGACCTTTAAGTTATCTGCATAGCTAGACTTGAGGTTGAACTGATCCTGTAAACCCCGTCATATAACAAATGCAGGATAAAAAGACCACATAAAAATAACAACAATAACAACAACAACAACAACAATAATAATAATATCAATAATAAGAAAAACTGACAATAAACGAAGAGCATTAACAACATAAAAGTAAAAAAAGAAGAGGACAAAGACAATCATTAATGTCTTTAGTATTTAATATTTTTCTTGTTTTATATTTTCTATCTTGTGTATGTGTTTAGGGTCCGGCAGGGCCAACAGAGATGCAAGGATCTCCAGGGTTTCCAGGTGAGGGTCTCCAAGGACCCAAGGTACGTTCCAGAACAAGCTGATTCACTACAACTATGCGTATCATTTCAGTCTGCAATGTACAGGGATAAATATCTCGCACATTTATTACAGAATATGGAATATTATTGCCTTAAAGACAAGAAATACAATTTTTACAGTTCTGTTGTATTTATAAATTGCACATAGAGGTTTAGAAAATCTGAAACCAAACTCAACCGATCAGAATTTATGTGGAAGGTATCTAATTATTGAATAAACAAAAAGAATAAAGTGAACCTTTCAGATCAAATTGTATGATTTGAAAGCTTTTAGACCTTCCTGTTCTCCTAACCCTCCCACTGTGTTTTTTACAGGGTGACAGGGGGTATGAGGGTCCCAAGGGTGGCCGTGGACCTCCAGGAATTGGGTACAAAGGTGATAAGGTATGGTTAGCTGTCAGACGTGGCTGGGATTGTACACACACACGTATAGTGAAAACATTTGAAGCTGTAAAGGACAACCTGTCTGACCTGCCACTTGTGTGACCCTCAGGGAAACACAGGAGATCCCGGGCTGCCAGGTTTGGTGGGGTTTCCAGGGGCAGGCATCCAAGGAGAAAAGGCAAGGCCAATAAAAATGTTAGGATATATATTATATATCTTTTATAAGTTTAATTAGATTTTAAACTGTCATGCTTCTCTCTGACTTTAGGGGGACCAAGGGCCAGTTGGGCCATCTGGTCCCAGAGGACCTCCGGGACTGGGTATAGTTGGACCAAAGGTTAGCAGCAGCAGCTTTTATATAATTTTTAGGAATGGGTGATACCTTAAAGAGACATTAAGTGATTTATAAATGGTATCTGACATTCATGAAAAATACATGGACAATATACATTGTAATACATTATTTTAGAGCATTAATGTGTAAGATTTGAAAGAGGTAATAATATAGTCTTGTTGAATTCATAAGCGCTAAAACTCACAACAATTCAGTACACTACTTACTGCTAATGTTAGCTAAAGTTATCAAACCTTAGATAGATAATGCTGTGGAATTGATGTTACTGAGTCATTTTAGCATTTACTAGTAAAGGTCCAAAGTAAAGCTGCAGTAGGTAATTTTTATAGAAAATATTTTTTTATCATATTTGTTGAAACTTTCACTATATCTTAACAATAGTACATGAGACAGATAATCTGTGTGAAAATCAGGTATCTGCAAGCCTCTGCTCTGATTGGTTGTTTTGTGTACTGAACACAGTAAAAAGTTATTTTTATAAAAGTTCACTACTGCAGCTTTAAAATAGGGCTGCACATAATTTTCTACAGATATTGTGATTGATTGTGCAGCCCTCATTTACAATTCGACTCGTATTGCCAGCAAAATGTACTTAAAGTATCAAAGGTAAAATTACTCATTAATAATAATAATACATTTTATTTGTAAGCGCTTTACTCTTACTTTACTTTACCTTACTCAAAGACACTTTACATAAAAACATTAAAGCAGCAAAACAACATTTAAAATTGTTAACCCATTAAAAAACACAATTTCAGGACTAAAAACTTAAAAAAGGTTGGAGTTTTTTTGTTTAGGAGATGTTTGAAGTTGGAAGGGTCGGTTACAGTCACGGGATTGTGTGTTTGGGAGGCATTACCGGAGGGGATGGGGGGAGCTAAAAGAGGGGGGCCTGTCCCCCCAGGTTTTCGGTTGCTTTGTCGGGGGTGGGAGTTTCGGGATGGGGCACATCAGGATTGAGTGCGGGAGCTACGAGAGGGATTGTTGGCGGATGGGAGCAGGTTCGTGAAAGGTAGAGAAGGAGCTGGTATGGGAGTTGGTTGTGGGAGGGATTTGAACTGGATGCGGTTTTTTGGGGGAACCCGGGGAAACATGAAGGTTTGGAGGACAGGTAATGTGGGTCACCAAGTGTGGGGGGTGAGGCAGACGGGCAGCAAGGTTTCGATTATGGTGTTAATTTTAAAGGTTTTGGATGGTGTGCGTAGGGGATGGTTGCAAGTACATTCGGGATTTTGGAGGGTTGATGGAAGGGGTGGATGAGGGTTCTTGCGGCAGAGAGGAGAAGGATGGCGGGTTATTGTTTATGAGGTGAAAAAACAGGGCATTCTGGTGATTGTTTTTTGTGGTTGTTCAAAAGGAAGTTATGTTTCAAAAGATGGACTGAAGTTTGGTACTGTGGAAGGATGGGACCCCAACCAAGAGTGGAGGTGTCAAACAGTGAGAGAAGGAAATTATGTTGTAAGGTTTGGGCGGATGGATGATCGTGGGGTTGTTTTGTCGGCAGTTGTTTGAAGGGGGAAGTTGGTGTGCATCCAGGATTTAATGTCAGTGAGGCAGTTGGAGAGAGTGGAGTGAGTGGCGGAGGTGATGGATTTGGTGGAGATGTAAAGCTGGACGTCATCGGCATAACAGTGAAAGTTGAGACCATGGTGGCGAATGACGTTGCCAAGGGGAAGCAGGTAGAGTATGAAACTCGTTGTATAAAATGGCATGGAAATTATGGAGTTAATTTTTTTTTCTTAATCTTAGGCGCACAAAATATACAAAATACACATTTTCGGGCCTCTCCTATTTTTACTGTGGGACAATTTACAACTTTATCATTGTCATTAGGACATAAATGTAGTGGAGTAAAAAGTAAAAAATTTGCTCCTGAATTGTAGTGGAGTAGAGGTATAAACTAAATATAAAATGGAAATACTCAAGTAAAGTACAAGTACCTTGAATACTTATACTTACTTATAAATACTTATAAATATACTAAGTTACTTTCCAGCAGTGCTTAATACATTTCTGTAATTGGCAGTCAGTGATTTGTGTTGCTTCCCAGGGTGACCAGGGTTTCCCTGGAGAGCCTGGACCTCAGGGAGAGAGGGGAGCTGGTGAGGCAGGACCAAAGGTAAGCCACTCAGACTGTCCTTGAATAAAGCGTGTCCTATTGAATGAACAGTGGGACCTTGAAGTTTTGAGTTCTTGTGTGGTCTTCCAGGGGGATCAAGGGCCTGATGGGGCTGCTGGGATACCTGGCATTCCTGGTGAGGATGGAGCTGTTGGGCCTAAGGTGAGTCTGTGACTGGAGGTCAAAGGTCACATTTCGTAAAATTCTGGTTTGAGTGCAGTTAAAGATGTAGGTAACTATTATAAAAATGTACTTTTTGTCATTATTGCTGACATTTCCACTGTGTTCTGACAGTACTACATGAGACAGAATAATCTGAAAAATCAGGTTCGCTCTGGCTCCTCCTAGTGTTCCTAACGGCATTTACAAGAATCCACCGGGCCTGAATGAAAACAACCAATCTCAGGCAGGAAAGATGGGTGATTGTTGAGTCTCATTTCCAGTGTGTCAAATAGAGACGCTTTGGGACCCTGGGAATGAGACAATTAACTCTTCAAGCTTCTAACCCAAAGTGTCTTTATTTTATATCTTTCTTGGCTCTGATTGGTTGTTTTCGGAGTAGTAGGAGGAGCCAGAGGAACTCAATTTTTTTCACAGATTATTTTTATAAAAATGACCTACTGCAGCTTTAATGCTGTGACACAGTTTGATCTGCTGTTTAATCCAGGGGGAGATGGGGTTGCCAGGTGTGCGAGGCATAGAGGGAGCACCGGGGACAGGCATCCCTGGAGAAAAGGTAAACAGTGGCAGCTGCCGTGCAGGTATTATATTTCCATTCTCTTGGAGGATATCCTGATTGCTTCAGCTTTCTGTAGTGCTGTAAAAACAAGTAAGTGTAAGTAAACAGTTACTCAGAATTCAGTGTGGTGTCAGTACATATTTGCATACCTGCACAGTCAATGGTTTCATTGACTTGGTGTTTGCACAAATTTGACTAATTGATCATCAGTTACATCAGTGACTTTTTTCATTACAACATACCTTCTACATACTGATTTTTTTTTTTTCCCACAGGGAGATAGGGGTGACCGTGGCCCAAGGGGACTTTCAGGCTCTCCAGGCCCAGTTGGACCTGCTGGAGCAAAGGTATCTTAAATATAGGTTTTGCGCAAGTACTGTGAAGTTCACATGTATGCTTGCTGTAAGTGGGAAATCCAGTTCTAGAGGTGTTAAAGTTGCAGTAGGTAATTTTTATAAAAATGATTTTTTGTCATGTTTGCTGAAACTTTCACTATATGCTGACAGAGAGACAGCTAATCTGAAAAACTCTGGTTCCTCTGGTTCCTCCTAATGCTCCTAATGCTCCTAATGGCATTTGAAAACAACCAATCAGAACCAAGAAAGATAGTTGATCGTTGAGTCTCATTTCGAGATCTTCCAATATAGATGTTTTAGGACCCTGGTAATGAGACTCAACAATCAAAAATCAAGCCTCCAACACTTTCTTGGCTCTGATTTGTTGTTTTTGTCCAGGCCTGGTGGATTGTCGGAAAATGCCATTAGGAACACAAGAATGAGCCAGAGGAACCGGATTTTTCAGTCTCATGTTCTACTGTCAGGATATAGTGAAAGTTCAGCAAATATGACAAACGTTACCTACTACAGGTTTAAACTAAAGTCAGGGTCTGTTAGCTGACACAGTAACAAGGTAAATGAACGTGTACCGTAACCTGTATAGCGCCTTTCTAGTCTTCCAACCACTAAAAAAGCTTTTACACTACATGCCACATTTTCCCTTTCTTTTTTTTTAAATGTATTTTTTTGGCCTTTTATTGCCTTTATTGATAGTAACATCTGAGGATAGACAGGAAAGGGGGGTAGAGAGAGGGAATGACACGCAGCAAAGGGACACAGGTCTGATTCGAACCCTGGGCCGCTGCAGCAACTCGGTACATGGTCACCAGCTCTACCAGGTGAGCTAACCGGGCGCCCCATATTCACCCTTTCACACACATTCACACAGCTATGGCGAAGTCCATCAAACAGAAACTAACCCATTCATACACATTCACACACCGATGCACAGCATCGGGAGCAATTTGGGGTTCAGTATCTTGCTCAAGGATACTTCGACATGTCGCAGGAG